AATTTAAGAAATTACGCAAGTCGAATTTCACAATTTGTTACCTGGTTGATTGTGTGTCATCATTCCCTGACTGAATGGATCTCTGTCCCTGCTATCAATAACTTGACAGACAGGTACAAACCACACATTCACCATTCACACACACACACACACACACACACACACATTTACCATATACACTACACACACCACACACATACACCAACACCCACACGTATCACATCGCACTACACAGATTCACCAAACGCACCACACCACACACATACACACCAAAGACACACACACACGCACGCACACACACAAATTGTACACGTGCATGTACGTTGCCCGAAAAGTGCTATAATTTTATACGATGCTAGACCCGATTTCACCTCACCTGTGAATTTGCAACATCGAGCAACGTCCGCAAATGCAAGATTTTACTCCGCTTTTAGCGATATTGCAGTGACAGCGCAAGAACGGGTATAACGCGTCGAACTGAATCTGACTGTATGTTTGACGAAACGAATGTTTTGACCACTACTCTACCCAACAGTCTAGACTCCATCACTCATCAGATCAGACAGTACGCCCTTGATACATGAACACATTATTCAGAGTTCCTCCTGTACTACACCAATGGAGTTGTGTCCCTTTGTTGGTAAATGCCATATGAAATTGGCGCGGACATAAAATATTTAAATTGTTTGATAGGTATTACCTAAAAACTGACGAATGACAAAGTAGACACAATTTATGGATATTAACTTCTTTATTTACTGTAAAAGCGACGTTTCGGTATAGATCCTTATAAAGTTGTCAAGCAAGGACGAAACGTCGCCTTTACAGTAAATATAGAAGTTGTTATCCATAAATTATCTCTACTTTATAAACTATTTCTGAGAACGATTTCATGAAATTCAAAATGTCATAATTGTCCGTCAATCGTGATTTTGGCACCCGGTTATAATTTCCTCAATTATTTTCCATTAAACACACACCCACGCACCGAAATCGGTTATCGTCGAAAATTAATCATTGAGAAACCAATCAGAAACGTTTGCCTTGTTCAAGCCCGTGTAGCGCCGTAACTTCCGGCCATCTTTTTCTTGTTTACCTCAGCGGCGCAGCATAGAGCTGACATTTGATGGTTGTTTTAAAATAAATACGAGGTAAGGTGACTACAGATTAACATGATTGTGTAGCCTATGGTCATTTGTGACCAACTCGTGTTATTCCGGGACAAGCCGAATAGCGACTCGTGCCCCTCTCGTGGCCATTTTTGCGACCGGGTTCCGTCTGAGCGCAAACGGGGTTACATAAAACAATTGTCAATTCGTTGCGTAATGGTTCACATATATTTCCCCAAATATTATATATATTTCAGATGCGATTTAAAGCACATCGGGACGTGCGGAATTATACAGTATGACTGAACACATTGCAGGTTACGGAAAGGGGCGAGTGGTGACGAATGGACTATGGTTTGTTTAGAAAAGTTCCAATAGGTTGAAATAAGTGACATTCATATTTCATGTTATATCGAGCTGTGATTCGAACCGAGTGCGAAATCTTGAATAAGAACCAAGATGGCGGGTGTCACTCCTTGTCTATATGTATATAGAGGGGTGTGATTGTTTCTCTATACGATAATATTATGTTATACACGCTATCATCGAGTTCCTGTGTCATTGACCTAACCAGAAGTACCCGCTTTCTAATATTTAATGTCCGAATAAAAAAAACCCGTGTCAAACATGGTTGCCGCATGCATGACCATAGTCATATTAATATCCGGCCCGATAAAGGGGGAATATCTCACATGGAAATAAATTAAAATTTGAAATGCAATATGATAACAATATCTTGGTACATGTATAAGACTTAATTATATGCCAAGACACACTGATGTCATGATCTTCTTTCAGGATTTTCTTAAGTATTCTGGGAGAAGTAGGTCCATTCTTCCTGACAAATTGGTTGGTTGGTTGGTTTGTTGTTTAACGCCGCACTCAGCAATATTCCAGCTATATGACGGCGGTCTGTAAATAATCGAATCTGGACCTGACAATCCAGTGATTGATATCATGAGCATCGATCCACGCAATTGGGATCGATGACATGCATCAACCAAGTCAGCGAGCCTGACCACCCGATCCCGTTAGTCGCCTTTTACGACAAGGATAGTCACCTTTTACGACAAGCATGGGTTGCTGAAGACCTATTCTACCCCGGAATCTTCACGGGTCCTTCCTGACAAATCTTCGCATGACATCTCTTAATGCCCGCTTGTGAAAACTGTCCAGCTTTTTCTTCTTCTTTTGTTTTGAGATTGCTCCCTTTGGCACGCCATCTTCAGGTTTTGCAGGTCATCAGGGGAGATTATGTTAGGGTTAAGCACGTCCAATGGTTTTTATATTTAAAACCCGCATCCGCGGGATAAAATCTCGGGACTGACGCCCTTATGTTTCACCCCGCGGATTCGGGTTATAAATATTATAAAAACCGAGGAAGTGTTTTATCTAACTTATAAAGTGAAAAAAGAAACTTATACAACATTTATCAAAATATTGTTATGTTTCAAACATACTTTCTATGAACCTTAGGACACGGGCGTAAAATATCTGTTGCTGGCGTACGGTACTTGAAACATAAACTTTTAAAAGCATTGTTATTTGTCAGCGCCTCTGTCGCCCAGTGGTACACTGATTGGTCTACAGATACGAAGGTTGAGTGTTCGATCCTCGGGAATATAAAGAAAACATTTGATTTGATAATTTATTACTTTGTGTTCAAATGCAAAATATATTTCTTGCGAGAAATATAACATGTTATAATGTCAGGGGAAGTTGTATTACTATAATCCCAGTGATATCATATAACATCCCTGTTTATGAGATTTAACAACATTGGAGAACAATAGGAAGACGTTACTGGAGGTTAATAATCCGGAATAAAGTCCTTCGAGATATATCAGTTGCCTGCACCATTCTCTTTCTGAAACAATGGACAGATGCCAAGGGCGATTCCGTTTTTGATTCACGTTTTTAAAACAAACAAACAAACAATGAATCTCACGAATAATATCACGGGCATACTTTGACAATGCATCTCCACGTTGCACACGATTTCTCGCCTATACCGTCTCTGTTGGTACAACAAGTGGCGTGGGGTGACCCTGGGTCATGCATACATTATGTCATTTTTGTGAGACGTGAAATCGTCTTTTCACTTCAGAGTCATGTCTACGGTTACACAATTACATGATAACAAATAGTACAAAACAAGCGTTTTCAAGCGTGGTACTCCAGACTGCTTGTCCACGCCGGCCCAAATCAGGTTTGTTTGCGTGACGTTGTTTAAAGTCTGGACCAGACAATCCAGTGATTGACATTTTGAGTGAGTGAGTGAGTTTGGTTTAACGCCGCTTTTAACAGTATTCCACTTATATCACGGCGTGTCAGCTTAATGTGGGAGGAAAGCCCGAAGTGATGCAGGTCTCAGACGTTTACCACTTCGGTGAAACCCACGAGCACGGGTATGGTGCTGACAAACCTAGAAACATAATCTGGGCGAACCGGGATTCGAACCCACAATCATAGGTTTCTGGCGTGCCCAAGGGACGCAACTCTGCATAGCGAATCGCGGCGCCTTAAACGACTGGGCCACCCGTGCCCCCTGACATTATGAGCATCGATCTAGGCAATTGTTATACAATGACATGCATCATCCTCACACCTAATGTAGTTGATATTGAAGGTAGCTCATAATACAACGCGGTTCTATTTTCACCATTACAACAATCAGCATTATTAGACCCGTGAAGATCCGGGATAGAATTTGTCTTCAGCAACCCATGCTTGCCGTAACAGGCGACTATGCTTGTCGTAAAGAGCGACTAACGGGATCGGGTGGTCAGGCTCGCTGACTTGGTTGATGCATGTCATCGTATCACAATTGCGTAGATCGCTGCTCATGATGTTAATCACTGGTTTGTCTGGTCCAGACTCGATTAATTACAGATCGCCATCATATAGCTGGAATATTGCTGATTGTGGCGTTAAACAACAAATTATAACAACAACAAAATAATTTGAGTTCTGATTCATATTTCTCTTCCTCGGTGGGTTTCGATATTTGATGCTGATTCATAAACACATGCTTACAGTCGTAATCGTCCTATGGATTTATGAGACCTTTTTTATGATCATGGAAATAGTTTTGTCGCTTTAACATTAAAACCCGTGTCCTTCACTTACATTTCAATTATTGTGTTCTTTTCAATTATGAAACCATAAATTGTCATATCTCAATCGGAAACTCATACAAATTACAGCAAACTACGTTTATAACGAACACGCTTATAAAGAACTGACCGATATAACGAACTTATTTTTTAGTCCCGACCAGTTGTATATATGCTGTATGTATGCTTATAACGAACTACGGTTATTACGAACTAAAAGTAGTGGTCCCCTCGAGTTCGTTTTAACTGTAGTTTACTGTAACACAATGTATATCATTATAAGCAACACGACGTTCATACCCAGTAACATGAAAGGCAGTCACACCACGTTTAATTCAAGCTTCTTAAAACACAACACATTTATTAAAATGTATAAACTTATACCCCATACATATCTGGTAACCCTCTTTAAACAAAGTCGACCGATGAAGATCCGGGGTAGAAAAGGTTTTCAGCAACCCATGCTTGTCGTAAAAGGCGACTATGCTAGTAATACGAGGCGACTAACGGGGTCGTATGGTCAGACTCGATGACTTAGTTGATGCATGTCATCGATCACAATTATGTGCTCATGATATCAATCACTGGATTGTCTGGTCCGGACTTGATTATTTAAAGACCGCCGTCATACAGCTCGAATGTTTGTGAGTGCAGCTTAAAACAAACACACCAACCAACTAACTTTACACAACGTCAATGGTTCACACATAGCAGAAATAACAACACACTAGAGAGGGCCACCTGGTCGCTGAAAATAGACCCTCTGTAAGATCGACCGTGTATAAGAATATAGGACGGCAGGAGCGATCAACAGTGGTATGTCGCTGTTGGCAAATATGAACTACGAAGCAACTCGTAACACTGTCGGTCACAAGCCGATCCAGGCTGTGTGACTGGAGTACAACTCCCATGATAAGGACATGAAGGTAACAACGTTTCTTATTTCTGTAAATAGGTCGTGGTACATATATATATGTTCATTGCTCAGTGTTGTAAACATGTGCCTTTGGTTTCGGGGTGTGTCATATATTGATCTTGCTGATTTTAGTGAAGGGTAGGGCTGAGGGCATGGGGGTTGTATCAATCGCTGAAAATAGCTTGCCCAGCCGTGCCAGAATCCTCTTAACGTGGGTCCGCTGACCATTAATGATTCACCGAAGGGGTAGTATATGTATCCCTGGAAAGAGTAGGCCATCAGTATACCTTGCTTGTCATAAAGTCGACTAAACAGGATGAGTGGGTAAAACATAGTGGTGTGGTCGATCACGTAGGGTCGGTGTTCATGCTTTCAGTCACTGGTTCCTGGTCCAGACTCGCTTATTTATAGTCACCACTCTCTTGACCTTCTCAACGTTTGGTTTTCCTTCAACATGAAAGTGACACCCGTGAAGATCCGGGGTAGAATAGGTCTTCAGCAACCCATACCTGCCGTAAAAGGCGACTATGCTTGTCGTAAAAGGCGACTAACGGGATCTGGTGGTCAGGCTCGCTGACTTGGTTGATGCATGTCATCGATCCCAATTGCGTGGATCGATGCTCATGATATTAATCACTGGATTGTCAGGTCCAGACTCGATTTTTTACAGACCGCCGTCATATAGCTGGAATATTGCTGAGTGCGGCGTTAAACAACAAACAAACAAAAGTAACTGAAATAATGCTAAAAGCGGTGTCAAACCCAACTCGCTCAATCAGGATTTAAGAGAATGTGTTTCATAATGCATATGTTACATGATCCAGAAATAATATCATTTAATAAAGTCGAAAGGGTCCGAAAAGATTGACTCTTTTTCAGTTACCTATGCATATCCTAACCAGGAGCTAACTAGGATTATAACTGCATGTACATTCCCATAGGTGTATTAATGTCAACGTTCCTTTTAAACACTGCGCTGTTGCTTAGCGTGGTATGAAAGGTCAGCTATTGAAGACGCATTGTTTACCTAGCAACAGCGCTTGTGTCGACGCTGTTAGGGTGTCTATTGTTAGCGGCATGGTCTTCGTGTTGTTCAGCTGTGCGTGACCAAACAGCATAAAGTTATACGACCAGTCCCCGTCTTTGTCTATTCGTATTCGTCCTCGCGTAATGTCAAAACAAACTTCATGAAATTAAACTTTAGGATGTCAAACAAGACGTGATGTTGTACTGCGACGATGTCGAATTGGCCATACCAGTTTACTCATGAATATTTATTGAAAGGTGAGGATCCTCCGCTCTGCGTCCCTTGTGATGAGAGAATCAATGCGCATTTAATTCTTGGCTTTTTAAAAGAAATAGAACAAATGGATAAATTTTGAATAATTGCTATGTGTTTTAAAATTTGTATAATATTATCATCAACTGAGATTATAGATGGTGGTGTCACTCGGGGGTTAAAGTAATGTAAAAATATTGTCCTCCTGCCAGTGACACATAAATCCATTATCAATCAAAGTAAATAATATTGACTAATGTTTTAGAAATTAGGTTGTGTCTTTTTAATATTGGCTAGCATAACGTACAGCCACTGGTGTCCAAAGTGATGACATAAATCCTGCTGGGGATTCATGCAGGAATCAAAAGTAATGTAAGTCCCCATGATCCCAAGTGAGGTGGTCTAACTTTGGTTGCTGGTGGTTTATAGCCTATTTCTAATTGATACCATTAATTACATAGAATAATGATGTTTTAAATTTGATCTGGTTTGTTTTTTACTTCAATGGGGATATTGACCCCACCGTTTTACTGTCCTTTGTTGACAGGAATTTAGAAATTATCTTGTTCTCACCGCGATATGGATGCAGTACTGCCGATGCGATGTAAAGTTTCAACTTACTCACATACTGTCAGTAGCGTTCCACAAGTCATGTTACATTCCAAAAATATTGTAATTATGAGAAATCTTTTATTTTCACATAGTTCATACCTTTTCCTGTCACATACACGTGTAACACTTAACGCATTTCAATTAGAGGTGATTTGATACCTCTTTGGTGCATCAAAGGACAAAAACATGTTATGTTGTATATATGAGATTAGGGATGAATCTACAATCTACTAAACAAAATATAATTTCATTAAACGAAACAGGTCGCACAAGGTAACCACCTGGGCCCAATTTCATGAAGCAATTTCAGAACTACGGTGAGGTGAGGTGAAATGGGGTTTAACGTCGCGTCCAAGATTATTGCACTTATATAGCGACGTGCATGCACGTGTTTGTGTGTGTGTGGCTGCTTGTACTAGTCCGGACTGATGCCGATTTATAGTGCTAGCTCACTCAGATACCATGCCGCAGTTTAACATGAATACCCCACTCAGACACAGTATACTGACTCCGAGCCGACCAGTCCTTGTTTTAGCCCCTTAATGCCGAGCGCCAGACAGGGTAACAACAAGTACAATCTTTTAACGTCTTTTTGTATGACGCGGCCGGGATCGAACCCTGGACCTTCCGCTCTCCGGGCGGACGCTCTACCACTAGACCACGGAGGCGGTCTTCAGAACTACGACTGTCATAGGTCTATGTTAAACTTTGGGAGTTAGCGCTATGATTGCTTTGTGGCAGGCGAAGTGAGGTAAATTGGGGTTTGCACATGCGCGAGTATGTGGCCGTTTGTACTAGTTAGTACTGGAACAGGTTCTGTAGTGGTATCCCACTGAGATACCATTCGGCAGTTTAACCTCAAAAACTCACTTAGGCACAGCTTAAAGTGAAGATCCGGGGTAGAATAGGTCTTCAGCAAACCATGCTTGCCGTAAAAGTCGACTATGCTTGTCGTAAGAGGCGACTAAACGGATCGGGTGGTCAGGCTCGCTGACTTGGTTGAAGCATGTCATTGTATCCCAATTGCGTGGATCGATGCTCATGATATCATTCACTGGATTGTCTGGTCCAGACTCGATTATTTACAGACCGCCGTCATATAGCTGTAATTTTTCGTAAAATGGCGTAAACAAGCCACACTGACAAATATGTAATATCAGCATTTTGCACAGCCTCTTTTTAAGGATGTTAATAAAATGTACAAGCTTTTACAAAATATTTACCCGTATTTGAATAATGATGACTCCGAATCCTAAATTCAATCCGCTCTCGGCAAAGTCGAACAAGTCTATTTTATAAACGGTTTATGTTTGGTATTTCTCGAATATTCTCACAATTTCACGTCGATTATCTGTACTTTTTCTCCCGAAAACCGATTGCCATCTCTCTCCCATATTTTCTAATGCTATCGTTCGGGAACTGCATTTAATTGCGTTGCCCAGCTACATGTCTAGGGAACAACTCACTAGGCACTCCCCTCTCAAAAATAACGGCGACCAATTTACGACTTTATCAAGTTGCGAGGTCATGTTCGAATCTCCAGAAATGACAATGTTTTATCGTGAAAGAAAAACCACGCTTAGTTCTTCATTAGCTATCTTATATACCCCTATACAGGATCACCCGTCCTCCATATATATATTATATTATATCTCTCTATCTATCTAACTACATCTATATCTAAATATATATATATATATAGAGAGAGAGAGAGAGTCTCACCCGAGTGTCTTAGATATCAAAAATATCAACACAAGTTGATAAAAGTTGAAAAACTCCCGAGGCTTTCCGAGTAGTTTTTTCACTTTTATCAACGAGAGTTGATATATTTGATACAAAAGACACAAGTTGAGATTTTATTTATCATCCAACATCATTCTTCATTACCGAACATCCTCATACGGGATCAGGTTTTGTTTTGGACTTTAAATTCACTAACTTTAAATTTAAATATATATATATATTTGCAGCTGCTTTCACCATGATCTGTGGAGGTGACGCAAAGGTTGAGGACATCTCACCAATTCTTGATGTTCACAAAATTATCCAGGATTGGGCCTGGAATCAGTTCATAAAGGATGCGGGCTGTTTCAGAAAGCTTTTTATCAGAAGAAAAGACTTCATCGTTGACGTCCAAATGAACTTCTATCAGTTTGAAGATTCTAAAGCTGAGCTCAAACCTAGGGATAGCGGGTCTGAATCGAATCCATCTTCCAACGCGGGAGAGCATATGCCCAACACATCAATACTCTCTACTGATTATCATAATGATACTGATATGGACCAGGTTTACAAGTTCAGAATGGAACGGGCAAGGAAGGCATGTATGACAGTGACATTCCAGAAAGGATTTACAATTGGTGGGTCGGCAAACTTTTCTATTGGCGTTGTCGATGGTAACCTTGAAACGTCACTTCAGATAACAAAAACAACTGAACAAACATTTGAGGAAACACTGACGTTTGAAACCAACAGCGATATTAATGTCAAAGCTAACACAAACTGTGTGGCACAGGTGGTCTTCACGGAGAGGGAAATGTGTCGAAGGTTCACAGTTGACACCATCATGAGAATGCCATCAGGCAAAGCCCCAGTGTACATAAGAAGGAGGAAGGATCAGAAGGTAGTGATGTCTTTCAAGATTCAGGATCTAAGACATATTTTTCATAAGTATAAAGAGGAGAAGGATGAAGAGAGGAGAGTGGAGTTTGTGAGGGAGACAATCATACTGAACGAGAAGGAGTACAACAATTATGCAATCAAGCTGACAACGAGAGGGATCATTGAAGGAATGAGGTTGTCGGGTCAGACTGTGAAGCTCCATTCTAAAGAGATAGAGTCCAAGAGCAAACAAAAGAAGCAGACTGACAAAAAGGTTCTGGAAGAGCACTTGACACGACAACTGGAAATGTAAGGATGTAGGACCAGTAAATGACAATGACAAAGTGCATACTTCTGTTATGTCGAGGCGTGTCAGCTAGATGTTGGATGAAAGTGATTCGGGCTTCAGAACATTCTGCAGGAAGAATAACTTAGGTTGTTCTGTTGAGAATGGTATTCCTCTTTATCTCTATGTATGAATCCATAAGTAAACATTCTTAAACAATCATGTTTGTATAAGAACTCATAAAACATATATATTTGTTGGCATGCATATAGTTTGTTTCTGTCATGGAAATATCCCTTTCAAGTGGTACATGTCATATCAATTAGAGGGTGCACTAGAGATCCATTTCCTTCGATTTTGTGCAAGATCGACTTACGCCAGAAATATGTACACTTCCTATTCAGCGTATAGTTCTACACTTTTACACTAGTTAGTAATTTACAGAAGTAGAAACAGCTTCCTGCAAAAAGTTCTATCATTCCTCACAAATGCACGATACAGTCCTGAAAGAGTACTGAGTTGGATAAATTTGATCGACTTTTTTTGTTTGTTATGGTGTTTTTACAACCTTTATTCACAAAAGAATAACCATAAAATGTAAAATGTAACCATCAAATCCGTGACATGCCCACGTGGTTGAGGGTTACTGGGATGGTAATCAATGTGTTACATAGTGAATTAGACGGTGAATAGTATTGGGGTTGTGCACCAGAACAGAAGGAGGTTGTGGAGGAGGAGATAGGGCAGCAGTGTCTAACTGAAGTTAAGAATTGACCATTTTTCGTTTATCTCAACACTGTCTGAGGTGTGTAGATGTCTGTCGACGTTGCAATAATGTTTTATCAGCTATAAAACCGGCTAAAATCAGAAATACTGTAACGGCAAGTGTAAATATATGTTTTCCCCCTGTGGGAACCTGGTGTAGAATGTGTCTCATGCATTCCTTTGCTAATCTAAAGAGGCGACCTGATATGGAAGGCTGTTGGCCGTGGTTGGCGCCCTTGTGTCTCCATAGGAAGGGGATCAGGTGTTTGAGGGCGCCAGACCCGGCAATAGTGTTCCTTCGTCTAACAGACCACTTCGACCCTAACTTTGCCTAGACGGGTGGTAGATTGAGCACGATCCTATCAATCGGCTGGCCATGCCATGCCCTGTGTTACATTATACAAACATTTAGTCTTTTAAAATCTTGGTCTTGGCCAAATTATATATGTATCAATTTATCACCTTGCTTAGAGCCGTACGCTTTGATGTAAGTGTGTTGTTTATCGCCGCACTCAGAAATATTACAGCTATATGACGGCGGTCTGTCAATAATCGAGTCTGGACAAGACAATTCAGTACTTGACATCATCAGCATCGATCCACGCAATCGGGATACGATGACATGCATCAACCATGTCGGCATGCCTGACCACTTGATCCCGACCGACCATCCAATCGAGCCGTCGTATGGTTGGAATATTGCTGAGTGTGGCGTTAAACAACAAACACATAAACAAACATCCAATCGACCAAACTACTGAATCCGTTTGCAACCTCCTAAGGGATTGCTGGTATCTGCGGAGAGGTTACCATTGTCACCAAGCTTTGATCCGGTTGTCTCCTTGTATAATGTTCAAAGGGACAGCAATCCGTAAATCTGCTCAAATTGGAAAAAAATTGTCTACATTGAGGTTGCTGTCTCGGAGCACATGAATCCTGGAATTATAAGGACATTGTGCAGAGCGAAGATCATCTATTCACATCTCATAAGTGGTTTACTGTCAAGAAGGATGGTTTTGTTCAACCGAACAACACAAGCCTCTTCACTTTTGTCAATTCAAAGATTCCACACTGGGTTAAAGCTGGTTATTGTAGCATTGGAATGAAGGTAGAGTATTCTGACATTGATCCAAGTCCTGCCGTGCCTCTGTTGTTTGTTACCGCTGCGGTGAGATCACTGACTGCAGGATGGACGTCACACGAGCATAACTTCAGCCATACTGCAAAGAGAACAAGTTGATATACTTTGAAGTGCGACATGGATACAAAGGTATATTTTTTTTAAAAATTGTCAAACATATTATTGCATAACAATGTCATTGATAATGGTTTAAAACACAGGGGATTTTTGGACCTCAGCTTCCTGCACGATACCCGAGCAGGATTTACGTCATCACTTTAGAACAGCTGGTTGTGTTTCTGTTTCTGTTTGTTTTTTTACGCCGCACTCAGCAATATTCCAGCCATATGACGGCTGTCTGTAAATAATCGAGTCTGGACCAGACAATCCAGTGATTGACATCATGAGCATCGATCAACGCAATTAGGATCGATGACATGCATCAACCAAGTCAGCGAGCCTGACCACCCGATCCCGTTAGTCGCCTCTTACGACAAGCATAGTCGCCTTTTACGGCATGCATGGGTTGCTGAAAACCTATTCAACCCCGGATCTTCACGGGTCTGGTTGCTGTGCACACCACTAGCTGATATTAAAAAATGTTCAGCAATCAGTTGGCTTAAAACACAGGTTGATGATAGTTACATTGATTATGATGGGACGCTTGAGACAATCATGTTACGGAACTTGAACCCCCTTGACAGAGCCATCAACTATCTTTGCTAATAGAAAGCATCACAAAAAAATTAAAAACATTTTAAGTTTTTTATACCAATTTCTTTCAAGTACTTACTCTGTGTGGTAACATGGATCCTAAATCTTGAAGCTCAAACATGAACAAAATATCTCCTTCGAAGAAGCTCGGAAGAAGGTTGCAAGTTTTTCTGCAGCCACTTAAATCACTTTTTCTGTTGCCGCAGAATACTCTGTTGCATTCTCCTGTCCAGCTGTTACTACTGTACAGCATCTGTTGGCTGCCTTACCGATCTGATGACGGTCAAGTCTGTTCAACCAGACAATCCTGTGACTGACATCATGAGTACTGATCTACGCAAATGGGCTACAATGACATGCATCAACCAAGTCAGCGAGCCTCATCACCCGATCCCGTTTTGTGTGTGTGTGTGTGTGTGTGTGTGTGTGTGTGTGTGTGTGTGTGTGCGTGCGCGCGCGCGCGTATCATCCAAGTCAGCGAGCCTAAGCACCCGATCCCATTAGTCGCCTCTTACAAGGGTGCGTTGCTGAAAACCAATTCTATCCCGGTTCTTCGTAGGTTCTACATTGGGTCTCTGTTATCTGAATGAGTACCCCGGTGAAATAGTTGAATGTGATGGTTGTCATCGCTTAAATAGAAATGTGTTAAATTATAAGCAACTTAATATATAGGTCTGAGGGGAATAATCCACATCCGTAATGCGCTCTTTACGCGGCAATCAGAAATCGACTGATCGCTGACATATCTCGATCACTTGTGTAATCAGCATCTTGTTATCCGGATTATTCAATATTATTACATTTCAGGTGTAAATTTGCTATCCAGTTCAAGGCATGTGGGTTTTTTTCAGGTGAACAATTGACTTGCCTTTGCATGTGTTTGTGACGGGCGTCGCCCGTAGGGCAGGATACGCTCATCTTTTCTGAAACACCTGATATATATCGTCACTGACAGTGATTCAACCTATCCCGTATGCATAGTTGTGGACGGGAAAAAAACTATCGGACAGGTTAGCTCGACATTATTCTGACACCGTTAACTCGGGAAAGTAGGTCAAAACTGTTCAGGCGTATTGCCTCTATATTCAGCGTGCTAGTTGTATATAGTGATTATTGTTGTTCGGTATTTCGCACGCGACTAAGTGATTCACCCCGGTTCGTGTCTAGCCTGGTAGTCAGGAAAGGAGACTACCGCGTGAGCGTAACAAAAAAGTACAGTAGCGTAACGTACAAGTACGTTTATAACGAACACGCTTATAAGGAACTGACGGATATAACAAACTTACTTTTTTGTCCCGACTATTTGCTGTAGTTATACTGCATATATGCTTATAACGAACTACGGTTATAACGAACTAAAATTAGAGGTCCCTTTGAGTTCGTTATAACCGTAGTTTAGTGTACATCAAAGGGATTTTAAAAAATCCGAGCATTTTTAGAAGGGGACCTGAAAACAGGTTGTTCACATACATGTATTGTAACCCAACAAGCCATGACTTTGATGAAGCTGGAAATTAGGAGCCCCAGGGTGTGAGGTGAGGTGAGGTGAGGTGAGGTGAGGTGAGGTGAGCTGAGGTGAAATTGGGTTTAACGTCGCGTCCAAGATTATTGCACTTATATAGCGACGTGCATGCACGTGTATGTGTGTGTGTGTGTGGCTGCTTGTACTAGTCCGGACTGATGCCGATTTATAGTGCTAGCTCATTGAGATACCATGCCGCAGTTTAACATGAATACCCCACTCAGACACAGTATACTGACTCCGAGCCGACCAGTCCTTGTTTTAGCCCCTTAATGCCGAGCGCCAGACAGGGTAACAACAAGTACAATCTTTTAACGTCTTTTTGTATGACGCGGCCCGGGATCGAACCCTGGACCTTCCGCTCTCCGGGCGGACGCTCTACCACTAGACCACGGAGGCGGTCCTCAGTGTGTGTGTCGCTCACGTTGCAATGTTGACTCTGTGAATAGAGCAGTACGATCAATCTGTCAAAACGTGAGGTGCAGTGTGACTCATTTGCAACAATGGTGTGGTTTGCTCGGTTGACATCGGACTTAATATATGCTCTGCTGAACGAATTGTATGTACTAACGTGAGGGTTAGCAGGGCTATGTCAAACAGATTGAGGGAGTGATTTTGAATTTAAGCCACATAGAGCAGTATTATCATTGTGTCCCAATGTGAGGCATGTCTGACTCACTTGCAACAATGGTCCATGTTGATTGTGAGATCTGATATATATCTGTTGGATACATCTTGCACACATTTTATGTATTGACGAGGCAGTAGAATTATGCGAGAAACAGATTTAGTGAGTGGGTGAATGATGTTTTAAGCAACGTCGGCAATGTTACAGCAATATCACGACGACACCATTAAATGACATCGCGCATTATAGCAATAATAAATCCAATCAGGGCCTGCAGCCTGACGAGCGAATGCTATTACCCAAAACAGATATAGAGTGTCTGGGAGTGACATTTATTTGTATAACGCGACTGAGACCTGAGATAATGATGATAATGGCATACCTGTGGATAAGGTAATCTGGTTGTAAGGTTAAAAAACTCCTCATATAAACAGAAAAAAAATAGTTCAGTTATTTATGGTTGGTTTGTTTGTTGTCTAACGCCGCACTCAGCAATATTCCAGCTATATGACGG